AGATTCATACCTCTGTCAGTCAGTGGCATGTTTGTGCTGATATTACAGTTACCGTACAGCATCTTTTTAATGTCATACCAGTCTGTTCCGATGTCTCTCCAACTGCTTTTATGTTGTCTTCATCTCTCAACTCTTATTTTCCCTTTTGTTTCAGTCATATGCACAATGTGCTGGAAACTCACACTTGTTTTTATAATGATGCATTACTAGCGTTACTACTTCTAATACTAGCAGTACTGCTAGGAATTTGACCCTTTCCCCTACAATACTACATTTTAAGAAAATTCAGAATATGGATAAAATATTTGAGTGTTTTTAAAATGAACTAAATGCTCAACATAAACCTTATTCCTTAGTACATTTCTACAACAAACTCAATTTATCTTCAGTTCCCATGCTTCTTAAATCCCACCATTCCATATGTTGTCCTCTATTAGGAGGTATAGTCATATGTATAGTCTTATCCGTCATTTATCCTATTTCCTTTCTCTATAATACCAGACCACTTCCTTGGAAAGGGGGTAGTGGTAAGGACGTCAGAAGGTTAAAGCCATCTGTGTCCTTTTGTCATCAGTTGCACTCAACACTTATTCACACAGGGACTAACAATAGAGATGCTACACATATTGGTTTGAACAGATGTTCTCTCAACCTTCATTTTGCACACTTAGATAATTGTATCATTTCTGTTTGGTTGATATGTGAAGAAAAGATAATTTTATTTTTTTGATTAATTTTACCTATGCATTTGTATTATCTGTAGGCCTTAAACTTTAGCACTTGTGACCCATAACTCTGTTTGGTTGTTTCTCTATCTGGATGAATCTAACAAGGTTCATTCCCTGGGTCACACATTTTTTGAATGACGAGTTTCACAGTAAATATTTAAGCTTTTTGTACAAGACTAATCATGTCTGGATTTGTTTAGCTGCTTCTGGAACATCTGGAGGCCATCTCTCCTGACCACAATGACTTGCTGCATGAGCTGCTGCAGGATCTGGGAGATGTCCCTGATGTAGAGACATTGCTCGGTACTCTCAAACAAACTTATATTTATATTAATCCCAAGTTAATCACAAGTTGTCTATAGTGTTTTTATAATTTTACCCTGCCTTATTTCAGGTGAACCAAATGATCCAAACAGAGAGAGTGCTCTGACCCAGCTGGCCAAGACGGAGCTCTCCCTCACCTTAACCAGCAAGTTTGAGCTACTGGAAGGAGATGACAAAGACTTGAAGACTCTAATGACAAAGTAAGTTTATTGCTGGAGCCTGTTGTCAAGCTTGTCCAATATTGCAATTTAATGTTGCAATCATCTGTATTATTAGAGTATCATGTTTGGGATTGCCACAAATGCCCTGTGATGCACTGTACTTAACCCTTTTTGACACAGTGTGTGTTTCTTTGTGGCTATCACTCAGTAGCATGTCTTTGTTGCCTTTCCGGCTCTTCTATCATTTCCTGTCCTAAAAGGAAGGGGCTTGGTGGTCAGGGTTATCTTGCCTCTAAACATGTATCCGTCTGGTCTTCTTACAGGAGACTGTATTTGAGAGTTGGTCTCTCCCTTATTTTTTGGCATATCAATTTTTTAAGTTGTGAAATAAATGTGAGTTAATGTATGTCTATAATGTAATGTTATGTGTCATCTACATTTGGTTGTAATTGCATAATGTGTTCACACCATGCTAGCAAGACCTAGGAAACCAGTTGTAGGAATACAGTATAGAACATACAGACATATATATGGTGGCACGGTTGGGTCCAAGCCTGCATCAAAATATAATTAGATATTCTCCTGCTCCTGCGGCGTAACTTCCCAATGTCATTGCGATCTGTTCAGTGGATTTTAAGGTAACTGGACAACAAAAATAACCTTGTTGATCAAGAGAAGGTGATGTTAGATGGGTGAGTAGTGCTTGTGCTTGCTAGTGACTGTGGTTAGTGGTAACAAACATGTTTTCTCTCTGTGTGTGTAACAGGACAAAAAAGCTTATAGTGGATGTGGTTCGGATTCAACCTGGGGAGACCTTGCCTGAAATTCTTGAGACCCCAGCTAATGCCCCACAGGTGATATATCTATCTTGTTTTTCCTTACCCATATACTAACAGCAATGTTTATCTCTCAAAGGAATACATGCACTGAATTAGAGTTTTAACACTTTTTGCACTTCTTGTATGACTTTGCTCCTGAAGGAGTTGGAACATACTAAGAATGTAGAGCGCCGGGCTGTCCAGGATGCTCAGACACCAGAAGGTCTGAAGAGCAGCCCAGCAGTACTGGAGGACAGCCAGCTGCCTCTCGAGCAGAAGAAGAGGAAGATCCTGAGGAACCTCCGTAACCTGGAGCAGGCTGGCCTTGTCACTACTAGTAACAAATACCAGGACCTTATCAATGACATCTCAAAGGTACATAAGCTACTCTTCATTCACATCGAAAGATGCATAACTCCAGTGCCAGTCACAGTAAGAGTGTAGTCAGGTCAGTTCAGATTCTGAATTTGTAAAGTAAATCTGTAATTGACAGGACATTCGCTACCAAAGACGCTACAGACAGAGGAGGAAGGCCGAGCTTGTGAAGCTCCAGCAGACACTGACAGCACTCAACTCAAAAACAGCCTTCCACCAGGACCAGATGAACTATTACGATACCTACATCAAGACCTGCCTGGACAACCTCAACCGGAAGTGAGTTACACCTATACTTCTCATTCCTTGTGTGGCAGAAGAGTCTTTCAAAACATTTCTTCTCACTGCACGTAAATGATAATCTTGCTTTTGATTATCTGTGTTGTGTTGATGGTTGGATGGGCAGATGATTTTACATATGTATGTGTGTATTGTGTGTCCAGGAATGCACGCAGATCTATAAAACTGGACAGCAATAAGGGCAGTAAGAAGTGGAAGCCACAGTCTCTGAAGTACACTGCAGCAAGGCTTCACGAGAAAGGAGTCATCCTGGAGATAGAAGGACTTCAGACAAACCAGTGAGTTGAGCTGTTCACCACTTAGACTAGCTATCAGAAGGGGCTGGGTATTTATTGTTACCAATGGTCAGATATTGGATTTTTACACCACTTAAACTGTCTGTTGTTGAGCTGTGACATGCAGAGAACTTTTTTTTATTCAAAGTATTTTTAACTATTTTGGGGTTTTATTCATAACGTAAAACTGTAGTTTCCATTAGTTTATTTGTGTCCTACTTTATGACTTGTTTTTTGTTATACGAACAGTAGAATGTGTCATTTTTCTTTTTGTGGAAAGGAAAATATTTTTTGGGTAGACATCTGTCTTCATGCCCCACCTAATCTGTTACTCTTAAACTATTAGCATGCTCTTTAGAGTTAAGAGTTAAATCGTTAAACCAAGTACATTTAAGCTGATTTGAGTCCTATCAACAGTGGAAATGCTGACAACTACTGTCATTTAGTTTTTATATTTTTGCAACAATAGGACTTTTCCCCCATGTGGTGATTTGTCACCTTTTGTCATTAATCTCATGTTTTTGTTTCTTTTTTCTTTCAGGTTCAAAAATGTCATGTTTGACATTTCACCCACTGAGGAAGTTGGGGATTTTGAGGTGAAGGCGAAGTTTATGGGAGTTGAGATGGAAAAAGTACAGCTTCATTTCCAGGTAAACATTTCCCAAGTGCGTCAGAATTTCACGAAAAATAAAAGCAGCCCCATTAGTCAACACTAAACCTGGATGGATGAAATTTCCTCTTCCCCTTATCGGACTATTCACAGGAAATATCACGGAAACGGGGCAAATATTTTCCACTAAAGACACAATTGTTATTGTAATCAATTATCTGTATGTATGTATGTATGTATGTATTGAGTATGGAAAAAAATTTATATACAGTACATAATGTATGAATAAAATCTAATTGGCCAGTCGGTTAGTCAGAGCCACAAATAGTTTATATTGCATTTATGGAAGACTTCCTTTTAATGACAGTAATACAATAATTGAATCTACAACCATATAGTCAGAATGTATTATTTAAGTTTTATGTAAACCTTGGATATCAGCACCTGATCTCTATGGCTGAAAAGTTTACAAGCTGGTTTGTGTGTGTGTCTCTCATTGCATCTATTTTTTATTTGCATCTAGGACCTCCTTCAGCTGCAGTACGAAGGCGTGGCCGTCATGAAGATGTTCGACAAAGCCAAAGTGAACGTCAATTTACTCATCTTCCTCCTCAACAAAAAATTCTATGGTAAATGAGAAAGTACAGGGAGAGAGAATGCAACAGGAGAGGAGGGGGGAAACAGATTGTGCCTTCTGACAGTACTGAGTTTGTTGAACAAATTTAATTTAGTCAGAAAACATCCCATGGTGCAAGGCAGTGTTTTGTTTCGTTATAATTTGATAGATCACACCAAAATGAAATGTTATTGTCCAACTAAATGTGTCTGTTGTGTATTTTTCCATGTGGTGATTGTAAATGTAATGTATTTTTTAAGAATGAAATTGTAATGGTATTCATGTTTTGTATGTAAAAGATGTTGGGAAACACACTGTTATTGTTACCTTGTATGTTAAAACAACTTTAAAGGTTTGATGGAAATTTCAGACGAAACAGTACTGTCTATTAGTTCAGAAATGAAGCTGTAGAGCAACTTTCCAGCCGGCCTGCATGACCAGTGCCTTTTAATTAAAATGTTTAAAGAAACATGTTTTAATTAATAAAACATTAAAAACGATTTTAAGAGCTAAAACTGATGTTGTTTTAATATGTATTATCAGTATATAAGTGATTTCTAATGTTTCAACAATGTGCATAAATAAATTACACATGCCTACAGTTGTGTTTTTTCTCATGTCATCCATATTATCAGTAGTATTTTTATTTATCCATTATTTAACTTATCAACAAATGGTTTCTCAGTTGCCTGCCGACCTTAAACTTCTTTGGTCACACATAATTTGTCTGTAATGGGGAGGAGATGTGCAGGGAGGCGGAGTATCCACACTGGACTGTAATAACATGTTTGACAGAAAAACACCTCAGTAACTGTTGTGTGGCGTTCAGACCATTTCAGCACACATATAGGTGTGAAATATTTGGTGGATATACATTAGAGCCATGGTTCACCTGTCAGTTGGGGTGTTGGTGTTGTTTTCTCTCCACTGCTCAGCACTCACCTCTCAAAATGGTAAGTTGCTTTTTTAAACATAACCTTTGTGTAGAAGTCTGTTATAGTGCATAAGAGATGTGATTTCATCTGACTACAGTTAGTACATGCTTGTACTCTGCAGGGTTTTATAAATGCAAAATAGGATAACATTTACTATATTATATGACCCTTGTAATTAAAATTAAATGTGGCGTCTGCTGTCAGTTGCTTCAGCTATAACCTAGCCTATACAGTAGGAAACGCTTTTAATGCAGGGATAACACTGCGCTTACCTGAAACTGAAGAATGTGCCAGTCTGATAAGTACTGTAGGCTACGTAAGTGCAATTCAGTGGTACTTGTAGCCTATATTACTTAAGTATTTCGATTTTATGTTACTTAGAACATCTACCCCACTACACTGATTTTGTAGCTTTAGTTACCAGTTACTTTGCAAGTTAACATTTTTACTCACAACAGGTGATTAGTTTGTAATATATAAGTATGATTCATTGGTAGACTTCAACAATATATAAAGTACTTCAGATCAGCTCCTCTCAGACATTTAAATGTTGCTTACATGTTAATACATTAGTAATAATCCAATACTGTAATAATCAACATTTTGTGAGTAGCCATTGTACATACAGAATGTAATTCTAAATACCTTTTTGCTGATAATATTTTACTTGGGCTTTTACTTAATAGAGTATTTTTACAGTACGGTATTACTACTTTTACTTAAGTACAGTATCCAACATCTTCCCATACTACTGGTCATGGAAGATTATGAACAGGTTTAAAAAAAAAAAACCCAACTAAGCCTCCCGGCATCTCTTAACTGCCAGGGAATTTTACCGAGGTAAGTGTTGCTTAAAGTAAGATAACTAAAGCTAAATTACCTCCAGTCTATTAATGTACTAATTCTATATTGTATGTAGTGATGCATCATATATTTGTAAAATGTCTGAAATTATGAAAATATTCTTTTAAAGAGAGGATTTGGGCAGTGGTGGCCTTAAAGATTGTCCAATTGCAAAAACAAAATGAAAGTTTGCCACTTAATCTGAACTGCAGGAATGAGAAGAAAACAATTGTCCCTATAAAAACAGTTAACAGTAAAGTCTGTACTTTAGATTAAAGAGTAACTGGTACTGATACCGATTCATAGATGTAAAACCTGAGCAAATAAAACTAAAACTCCTGGCTAGAGATACTGTAAGTGAGAATTGGGTAACCTAACCCTTTAAAAAGTGTGGGTAACAGTGTGCTGTACATGCACTTCAGAACACCACTGATGTTTTCTGCTCTGTTTCCCTGTCTCTTTCAAGGCTCAGAGCTCCTCCCACGGACTTTCTCTGGTCACTTTGTAATGGTCACAGATGAGCCAGTAGAGTACATTGACCTGTCTGTGTTGGACAGTTTGAAGGATGATGGGGGCTCTGGCTCAGGGTTGGAGCAGGAGCCAGTAAAGAGACATGGCCACCATGGCCCACACCGACATCCCCAGAAGCGCTATTCTGTCTCAGAGGAAGCCAAAGCTTTTCTCCAGGGTCGCCTGGCAACAAGCTTTGTCCCTACCATTTACACCCTCGTCTTCATCATCAGCGTGCCCCTCAACCTTGTTGCCATGGTGATGTTTGTGCATCACATCCGTCCAAGAAAACCGGCGGTGATCTACATGCTGAACCTGGCCTGCGCCGACCTGCTGTTCGGCCTGCTCCTTCCCTTCAAGATCGCCTACCATTACCATGGCAACAACTGGATCTATGGCTCCTTCATGTGCAGAGTTGTCACAGCAGCCTTCTACTGCAACATGTATTGCTCTGTCCTGCTCATGACGTGTATCAGCATTGACCGTTTCCTAGCTGTGGTTTATCCCATGAACTCTCTGACGTGGCGCAGCCCTCAGACGGCTTCAGCTGTGTGTGCGGCCATGTGGCTGTTAGCCCTCGGAGGAGTGTTCCCTCTCCTGATCTCTGGGCAAACCATCTATTTGCCAGACCTGGGCATCACCACCTGCCATGATGTGCAGGATGTGGAAAACCTACAAACTTACTATCTTTACTTCTTCCCCATCTACTCCTCTGTCTTCTTCTTCATCCCTCTTGTCTTTACTGTTGTCTGTTACGTACGTATTATTCAGGCTCTGGCAGCAGCCAATGTGGAAAACCGCTCCAGGAAGACTCGAGCTGTGGTGATGGCTTTAGTCGTGCTGGTGGTGTTTGTTGTCTGCTTCACCCCCACCAACATCATCCTGATGGTTCACTATGTTCAGCTGTCCTTTAAGTCCAGTGACAGTTCATACCAGGCGTACCTGATCTCCATGTGTGTAGGCAGCCTCAGCTGCTGTCTGGATCCAGTCCTCTATTACTTTGGCTCCTCTCAGTGCCAGAAGCAGGTGGGAGCTCTGCTCAGATGTAGGCGACTGGTACAAGCAGAGAGCAGCTCAGGAACGCAAAGTACAAGAACCAGCGGGCGGACAGACAGCAGCAGGTCTTGCAAAATGGAGAGCATTCAAACTGGCATGGGGAGCCAATACAGCAGACTGGTAGCTTAACTACATGGACATGAGGAGCCTGCCTGAGACACTCTTCAAATATGCACACACACACACACACACACACACACACAAACGTACAGTATGATACATCATTGTCAGTGTGTATTGAACTCCTGACTAAGGAAATGCTGGATTTATTTGCACTTACATTAGCTGATTGGATGGATCATTGTTTACGTTAAAAACAATTAGCTATTTGTTATTTTGTAATAAGGAAATATATCCACCAGTATGACATGAGTATGAGTGTGATATCATTAATTCATTTAACAGCCAGCCAGTCCGCCAGATTTTTGTTTCATATTTGTTTTCCCAATGAATCATTGGAATTAAACAGTTACTGTACAACAATAAGGTTTTAATCTGTAAACATTACATGTGATGTAGTAACTGCATTATTTTAAGGCAAAAACAGCAATTTTGACATCACAGTTTTCATAATGCAATTCAGTATATCATCATCTGTTATAGTAAATATGTAAAAACATTAATCACTTCATGCACTGGCACTCTTGAAGCCAAAAACGTGTTTGTAAATAGCAACATTTGTGCTAAATCATAGATAATTCAATCAGAACAAAACTACTACATTATACATATTTCTGCTTAATACAAATAGTGCTGTATTTCTTTGTCTTTTTTTCATTGCTGCTCACTCTGTACTCTCTTTGTCATCGGGGCACAGCTCTGAAACACAGGAAAGGATAAAAAAAGATAAAATGTGAGAGAAGAACGGAAGAGATGAAATATTCCCAGAGCATCATGGGGCAATGTTGGCTCTATTTCCATTTCCTGGCCATGTGCATTTTGCTTCTTGTAATTCCTCTAAAAATGATGGTTGCTGCATAAAGTGTAGATTTGAATGTTGCATTTGAAAATACAACATCTCCACCTTGTGGCAACTTGTATAAATGATAGTGTCCAGTAAAGATCTCACAGGTCCCAGTCCATTACAGCTTACTAAAAAGTTACTGACCTGTTTTACCATCGTAGCTATGGAAGTTGTCTGGGAAGTTCAGACACCCAACATGTTTCTTGTAAATTTCCACATCTTTGGGATCTATTTTTCCTGTCCTTGCTGAAAGAGAAGGGATGTTTGAAAAATAAATAAACCACATTTGAAACTCTGACAAAACTGTGTTAAAGTTGATGAGGACAGGACTTACTGAACTGCAGGATGTATCTACCAGTGGTGTCCCCATTTCGAAAGGTGTCTGTCCACAGCAGGCAGTCAGAGCAAGTCTGTAGAATATGTCCTTTGTGGTCTGACAGATTTTCTTTAAAAGCAGACAAAGTAACTTATTATTATGCAATATTATTTATATGGATAATATATGTTGTTGTGCATATACTGTGATCTTATTTGTCCTGTTAATATCATACCAAATACATGTTGCTTTTCTCCTGTATTAATCAATACATCACTTGTCCACTTACTGCGAAACGTGGTGGCAAGTCCTGAAACTGTTGCATTTACCTCCCCTGAGATACACCGATTACTGAGAAACAAGAACATGTTGTGATAGAATTTTATTTTGAAAGGCTGAATATTTAACGTGGTAGACTTTTTTTTCTAACACACTGCTACAAACTTTATTTAAGGAGGATTCTGCCAGCATATTCAATTAACTAAATTACCAGACTTACAAGCAGTGATCTCCCCAACGTAATGTCACAATTTGACTGTCAGAAGTGGGTGACAAGTCTATCCAGGAGCTTTTCAGAGACTCCAGTGCCTTGTGGTACGGCTTGGGGTCACCAGCTCCCATCACATACACCCATTTTCCAAAGACCTTGACACAAAAAGTCAAGATTCATATAATATATGAATAATATCTGACTTATTGTTGATAATATGCGTTTTAAATCAAATCAACCATAATTGGGATAAATAAGACAAAACAAGGATCATGAGAACAACTTACCAGTTTGGGGTCCTCTGGCATAAAAGGTTTGACCAGGTCCTTACAGTCAGGTGCACTTGCTGCAGTGAGGGAAGTGAGAGCCAACAGAAAAACAGCAACAGACAGAGCCATGGTTCAGACAGAGGGTTGAGAATGAGATGGAAGAAGGAGAGACAGTGGCACTGCAGAGGATGTTGCTGAAGCTGCAACAGAAAACGTCTAAAGCTGATTCATCTTCCCTCTGGGGTTTCGAACAAACAAAAAAAGCTGTTGTGCAAGTGCTAATTTGGGGGAGGAGGGGGTTTCTTCATGCTCAGATGCACCAGTGGAGTGGAGTTTTAATGACCATGCAGAGCCAAGCAGGTTTCTTTTACTCAGCATCGAATGGCCAGCTCAACAGCCCACTGTTGCCAATACTGCTCCCCCTGAATGAACTCAGGCAAAGTGCCACGACTTGTCTCGGACTGTTGAGACATTAAGAAAGGCCCTGAAGCAGCTTTTCTTCAGTGGAACGAAGGTTGTTTCCCTGTGGGTGTGTAGACTCCTTGTGGGGACAGTTTAAAAGTTTGACGTCTTCTTTCTCCCCCTCACAGGGATGTTACCCAGCAACAGTCTTTGTTGAAGTTTTTGGGAACAGCGGTGCATTTGAGAAGAGCTGTAGTAGTTTGGATGAAGCGTATAATTCTGACATATGGGTCAGCAGGAAAAGGAAATGTTGAAGCTCAGAAGCCAAACGCTTTTTCTGCATAAGGGTAGACATAAATGACTAGAACACAGTACAGATGAAGATTGAAAGCTATTTTATTTTCCATTTACTTTTCAGTTTACCAAACAGTTATACACTCAACTAACAACATGTATTTAAAGGAGGCATTTAAGTGGACTTTTCAACCATTACTGTACCTGCCAGAATATGCCACAAGCTAGTCAGATTTCACATTTCCTAAACTAAATCATAAAAGTTCAAAGAACTTAGCAGGCAGAGACACACAATGATAAGACTACACATGACAGAGCTTACATGACATGACACCAGCAGGCCTGGTTTTAACGCTATAGGCAATGACCATTGAAAAGTTACTTCACAGGACAATATTATATCAGTGCACATGCAACAACAACACTATTTAGTGCATGTTAAACTGGATATGTTTGGGTGTGTGTAGGCTGTTCAGTGGGCTATGACACCTCCTTGCTCTGCTTTACTTTGCAGTGGGCTGAACATCAGTTTCTTCATCCTCTGTATTCTCTGCAGCAGGTGAAGTAGTTTCCCTGTCATCTGAACACAGATCTGAAATAAGAGAAAAATATTAGTGAAGAAAGAAAATTGACTTTGGTAATTTAATTGGGAAGACACAGAGCTGAAATGAGAGCTGACCTGATCCTCCAAAGTGGTACTCTGGGAGGAATTTAAGACACTCTGCCTGCTTCTTGAAAGTCTCTAAATCAGATGGCTTCAGAGTGCCGGTCCGTGCTTTAAAAGAACAGCCAGAGAAATAAAACATGCAGAGTTATATGGGGAGAAAGAAGAGAAGCCAACTGAGAGAGGACACAAAATAGAGACAAATGGCAGTCATTTCTCCAAATACTGACAAAAAACTGTATTTCTACTCAAATCAGCTATGGAGGGGGAAAAAAAGCCTTACTAAAGAGGAAAAGGTATCGTCCCTTTGATTTGCCATCAGGGAGGAGGGTGGTGTCTTCGGACAGGAGGCATTCTGAGCAGGATTCATAGTACTTTCCGTCATGATATGAAGTGTGGCCGTTGATATTAACTGTGAAACATCAGGAAAACAAAGCATCCACATAAATGTATATGCACAATATTAAAACAAGCACAGAGTGACCTACTGTATGTTTTTATTTTTTTCTATACAGCTATTTGAAATGGTGCACAATAAAATATCACATAAAAATATTAAATAAATATAATAAAAGAATAATAGTAACACATAGTCAGATACTGCAGTCGGAGCCTTGTGTGAGTGTTTTCTTGAAATCCACATACACTGGCTGCATGCATCACACACATAACATTACACAGCATAGAGAGAGATGGTGAGTCAGCAGAAAAATACTGTGAATATTTCCAGATACATACATGTGGTGTGACTGGTCATTCCTGAGATGGTGGCATTGGCTACACCCTGAAGGCATTTATCTTCACTTCTGTAATGAGAAAAAGAAAAAAAAAGTTTCAATCCGAATCAACCTATACAAATTTAACTGTAAATTGTGACAGATTAACTATGTCAAAGTGAAATTAAACATGGCAATGTTGTGGTCATGTGACGGATGATTTGCAGTCAGCAGTGTCCTTACAGGCGGTCGGCCCAGTAGATGGTCATGACTCCGCTGTCTGAGGAAGCCGACAGATCCACCCAAGAGCTGTTCACCGATATCAAGTCGCTTTTCAGGCCAGGCTGGTCCCACGACCCAACATGGAGCACCCATTTCCCATAGATCTGCCACAAACAGGGGCAAAACGTCCACACAACTCACTCACATGACTGGGCTGCTTGTCTATGTTAGAGTGCAATCATACTTTATTATCCAGTGTAGGAATGTAGTAAAACATATACTGTCCAATATACTAATACAATTAATTACCAATTATGTTTTTTGACTGCTAAACAACTAGTTTAATGCATTTTCCTTTTTTAACAGTCTTAGTTATTTGAAATCATGCTGTAGAACATTTGTAACATAATATTACTTAACACCAAAGCAAAACCCTGCAATTCATTTTATATTAACACACAGCGCTGTGCCTCAGAGCCTCACCACATACGAGCAGCTCATAACAAATGATCACTGATACTTACGGGGCTGTGGCTGTCCAGTACCAGAGGCTTCACCAGCTCTTTACAGTCCAGTTCAGATGCAGCACCCAGGGAGGTGAGAGCAAGCAGCGCGAAAACCAGCTGTGCAGCCATAGCTCGAGTCAGCAGGCAGCCAGAGAGCAACCACTAATGTCAGGGATCCTGCCAGCTACAGCCTCCTCAAAGGAACAGGGGAAGTGTTGTGTAACAGTGGGCTGAGCCCACACACACACACACACACACACACACACACACACACACACACACACACACACACACTCCTCTTCAGACACACATCCAGTCAGTAAGGGCTTGTGTCCTATTTATCTTGTTACATAACAGCCAGATGGCAGAGTCTGAAAAACAAGATCCCACCATCTTTCAATATGTGAATACTCCCTGTACAGAGTCACACACATGGACAAACAAATAGAGAGAAAATAAAGACGCACACACACACACACACACACACACACACACACACACACACACAAACACGTCTCTTGTCCTCATCTCTTATTTCAATGGCAGTGGCCAAAAATTTCCATAAACCTTTATTTGCTAATTCATTCAACGCACACAGGATGGACATTTGCTTTGACCTTTAGTAGCTTTGTGTTTCCTCAGGGAAGCTAGCTCTCATACCATCTACTACCTCCCTTTTTCCAGGAAAACATTTTAAATCGGTCGTTCTGTTTTGTTTTGTTTTTGTTGTTTTTTATTAGTGGGGATAATTATTGCTAAAAATTTTAATAATGGTATACACATATGATGTGCTTGTCACAGTATGACAACATACTTCATGTGCTTCCTAGTGAAACAGATATGTGACGTCTACACTAAGAACTCTACAGAGTTCTACACAACAATCCATGTGTGTAGAATTTGTGCAACATGTTATTTGATTGGGTAATGAATCACCAGTTGTGTCCCATGGTCCAATATCTACAATGATTGGTCTTTGAAAGAACCATAGAGATGTCAAGAAAAGATTCAAAGCACATTTTGTGTAGTGGAATGTGCTTCATGTTTTCTTAGTTTGTGTTTTTGCAGCAGATGGTGAATAAAGATCTGCATTAAATCTTAATGGACAAAGTAAGAGGAAGTTAAGTAACTCACATATGAAGCAGGCTACATGCCATCACGTAAATAGTGTGTCTCTTGGTGTGTCTTTATTGGTGCACTGAAAATGGTTTGAGGCTGTATGACGGAGTATTAGGGCCACACTAAATAAATAAATAAATACAATTTTGAAATTACGAGAATAAAGTCGTAATATTACCAGAATAAAGTCGTAATAATACGAGAATAAAGTTGTAATAATATGAGAATAATGTAATAATAATACAAGAAAGCAGATGTAACCACCGATAGCCTTGCAGTCGACCACTACCAGACAGCTCCTCTTCGACAAAAGAAGCAATTTCTTCCAAGTCCATGTGGTTCTTTCTTCGTCGTTTGCACAATCATTTCAAAGTCCTGATACTGATAAAAAAATTTTGATGCTGATGTGCCAAAAGATTAAGTATTTCCTTATTTGTGAAACCGATACCAAAGTACTTTACAAGATGCTCAACCCTCATTTTAACGCAGGGGGAAGACTGCTCTGTCTTGTAAGAGTTCTCATAAAATGATGTAATATTACGACTTTATTCTCATAGATAGATAGATAGATAGATAGATAGATAGATAGATAGATAGATAGATAGATAGATAGATAGATAGATGGACAGAAATACCTTATTTATCCCCGGGAAATTATAATGTTATAGCAGCTGATTAGGGGGGGGACCTAATATTTTGACTGTTACATTATTCTCGTATTATTATGACTTTATTCTCGTCACATTACGACTTTTTTCTCGTAATATTACGGCTTTATTCTCATATTACTATTGGTAGTGTTGGTAGTGTCAGCTATATTTGCAGAGAGACAGAAAGTACAAATGTGTTGCATTATGTAAAACAAAATCATGAAAACATACACTGTTTCCTTTTGTTAAGCTTTATATGCATAAAAGAAAAAAGGCATTTTAGTAGCATCCATCATGATTCATGAATCTGACAGTAAATGTGAAATCAGTCTATTTGGTTCAACTAACTTCAACAGGTAAGTAGTTCTTTGTTTTTACAAGGCAGAAACAAACTTTAAAAAGCTATAATCCATCTTGTCTCCCTTTGCAGCATGAAAAAAGCTGTTCTCTTCATTCATATATATCAAGACATCTGTAACAAGCATACTTGAATACAAATTTGACTCATGGAGGACTCAGGTATCAGGATTTGAGGTGCAGGTGACTACAGTTGCGTCAACATGTGTTGCTCTATTGTTCTTCCTCCTTTGCATCTGTGGCATCAGGGCACAGGTCTGAAACAGAGGCAGGAAATCAGGTTGCATCTTACTGTTTACTGTGTGCGTAGTGGCAAAGACAGCGAGAGGCCGCAGCATCTTACCTTTGTTTTCTCCAAAGTGGAATTCTGGTGGAAAGTTGAGGCACGCAGCCTGTTTCTTAAAGTGTTCCAGATGAGAGGCATCCAATGTCCCAGACTTTGCTGTAGGGCAGGCAGAGGGAGGTAAAAGTTAATGTTATCTCAGTTACCTAGTCAAAACATCTATTAAATAAATATTTAAATTCAGAGTTTTGGGGTTTTACACATTGGTGTACATAAGGGGTGATGCAAACAGTTACAGACAGCTGTGAACTCACTTAAGAGGTAGAGGTTTCTGCCTTTTTTGGTATCCCCGTTTTTGCCCTTCATCACTGAGTCATCTGTCCAGAGGAGGCAGTCAGGGCAGGTCACCAGGTGCCTCCCAACATTCTCATAAGTGGTGGAGTTAAAGTGGACTATTAGAGGTCGAAAGAAGATTAACATATTGTTATGTATTTCCAGTAATCATGAGTTAAAGAACATTTAATAATATGTATCATAATTTACTTACATGTCGCCTTGGTGGAGTTTCCTGTGAAGGTGCAATTAGTGCTTCCAAGATGACATTTTCCATCCATCCTTGAAAGGAGAGGAGAATATAATAAGCATATAAAGTCTTATGCACTGGTTGCATTAAAGGTATTAACTTTCAAAAGATCAACAATTACATTTTGTCTGCCCAGCGGAGGGTCATGTCTTCACTATCAGGTATGGGTGAGAGTTCAATCCAGGAGCTAGTGATAGTTTTAAATTCCTTCAGGAAGTCTTTGTTGTCTGATGTTCCAACATGGAATATCCATTTTCCAGAAATCTAGACACATACATGCAAAATTAAAACTCATATTCTATCTAGCAACTTTGTATTAAAATATAATATAAAATGTTGGTGAGGAGATTTTGGAGCACAAATATAACAATCCTCTTAGTTTTATGAAGTGCCTTTGAAATCTAATTAGGACAATGCATGGTCCATTTTAACAATATGCACATTATTTGTCCAACCTGCAAATTACAGTTAGTATTGCTGATAACTGTTCAGACTTCAGACTCACAGTGCACATTTAACACCAACACAACCAAATAAAGAAGTTAAAGAAACTTCCAAACACACATTCTCCTTCTAATCCCAAATATTGGGCCTTCATGAACTTAGAATAAAAACAGAAAACCGTTTTTGCTATCAGTTATATTAACAAACAATAACAATATGAGTTTTAAGTTAGATTATGCAAAACAACCAGTGTAAAGCATTTTAAAACAAATCAAAATCCAGAATAAAGATCCTTTATCCTGATTAGAAATGCTGAGGACAACTTACCTGGCTTCGCTCCTCCAGAGGTTTCACCAGCTCTTCACATTCTGGATCCGCTGCAGCAGTCAGAGAGGAGAAAGCCAACAAAGCTAAACAAAACTGAACAACCATGGTTAAAAGTCAAATGACAGCCAACTGTATACCAGAGCAAGAACAGGATCACTCTATTCTAGGAAGGTCACAGTGAAGACTAGCCGAGGTGGAGTGATATAAATAAGGAGGAGAAAGTTTTGGGCGGGGTTGAAGAGTAACATGTCAAGTGGGCAGACTACAGTTTGTTTCTCAAATGGTGGGATTGTGTAACAAATGGTTGGCATTGATCTCTCCACAGACCAAAGAGTGTATGTACAGGAGTTTTGGCACTGCAAGAGATATATACTATATTTGAAGATAACTCCTTTATTTGGTGTTGTATATTGAGTAGCAATGATGTGAAGATGTGTTGAAGAGAAGTCCGCTGACACCGTCTTGATTGTATTTAAAGGTTTATTACAAAAAGTTCAGCATCAATACAAGCACCGCGGAGCTTGGAGAGCATCCAGCCAAATGAACAACTCTGTCTATTTTGCATCGAACATAGGTTTATATAGGTCTGTTGTTTACTCCAAAAATGGAAAGAAACATCTGGATTCAATCCAAATATGTAAGGTATAAAGGGGAGATGGGGAGTAGAGTTCAGAGGCCATTGAGAGGCCCCTAAAACATTCCATAGTAAGAATGATGTCATTGAACCTCATGAACTTCTAACACTACATATGGTAACAAAATATCATTTCAACTTATACCAAAATGTAATTTAACTTTATAAGCTTTAAGGTAAGCCTTCAGATACTACATTGGTTTTCTGGTGCAGAAGATGGGAAATAATGTTTCATATATGGTAAAGGTTTATTGTGTTTGCCAGACATTTTTAAGCTATATCAAGAAAAATACTGTGGCATTCTTTGTGGTTCTGCCAAAGGTTCCCTCCTACTGTTTTCTGTTGCGGGATGAATTATTCTTTCTGTGGGCGATCGTACTCTCACTCTTTCTCTGTGTGTATTGTGTGATTGAGGAAAGAATGAAAGAAAGAGATGAGAGAGATGCAATATCCAAAGATCACATAATCTGAGGTGTTCTGTGCATATATACATTAATCTATATGTGTTGCTGACATTATTGGGGTTGCACATGGAGTTTCACAGGCAGTGAGTAAATAAGTGAATAAGAATTGCAGTGCTGACTGTGCTGTTTACTAAAGCTGTCACATGAAAACTTTCTTTTGAACTCTTTGACTTGTAAGAGTGTGCTGCTGCATATAATAATGTGGCAACTACATTATAACTACAGAACAACAGGCTTTTATTTCACTATGTGTCGACCTCTAAAGCTAGCAAAAGTGTTATACTGGATTCCAGCCACAGTGTAAATCAATTTGTGAAAAGGCTGTTAGTGCCCTGATTCCCCCAGTTACCGTAATTAGTGCTCCAACAATCACTATGAGGCCTATTTATCCTGTTATATAACAGCCAGATGACAGAGTCTGTATAACTAGACCCCACCATCTTTCAATATGTGAATACTCCCTGTACAGAGTCACACACATACACACACAAATAGAGAGAAAATAAACTCTCTCACACACACACACACACACACACACACACACACACACACACACACACACACACACGTCTCTTGTCCTCATCTCTTATTTCAATGGCAGTGGCTTCTAAACACTACAAACATTTCCATAAACCTTTATTTGATAATTTATTCAACACACACAAGACGGACATTTGCTTTGACCTTTAGTAGCTTTGTGTTTCCTCAGGGAAGGTACTAGCTCTCATAACATCTACTACCTCCCATTTTCCAGAAAAACATTTTAGATCAGTCGTTCTGTTTTTTGGGTTTTTTTTTTTTTAGTAGTGGGGATAATTATTACAAAAAATTAGAATAATGGTAATCCACATATGATGTGCTTGTCATAGTATGACAACATACTTCATGTGCTTCCTAGTGAAACAGATATGTGACGTCTACACTAAGAACTCTACACAACAATCCATGTGTGTAGAGTTTGTGCAACATGCTATTTGTCAATATTGGGTAATGAATCACCAGTTGTGTCCCATGGCCCAATATCTACAATGATTGGTCTTTGAAAGAACCATAGGGATGTCAAGAAAAGATTCAAAGCACATTTTGTGTAGTGGAATGTGCTTCATGTTTTCTTAGTTTGTGTTTTTGCAGCAGATGGTGAATAAAGATCTGATTAAATCTTAATGGACACAGTAAGAGGAAGTTAAGTAACTCACACATGAAGTAGGCTACATGCCATCATGTAAATGGTGTGTCGCTTGGTGTGTGAAAGTTTCACTCTTTATTGGTGCACTGAAAATGGTTTGAGGCTGAGTTATGTAACACACACAAAAAAAAAAATGCATTCAATTGTATGTTTAATTGTTAATAACAGCGTCAGGCAAAACTTTTTCTTAAGTTATTTTTTTGGCCTTTTTATTGCCTTTATTTGATATAGACAGCCGAAGATAGACAGGAAAGGGGGTAGTGTTGTATATTAAGTAGCGATGATGTGGAGATGTATTGAAGAGAAGTCCGCTGACACCGTCTTGATTGTACATAAAGGTTTATTACAAAAAAATCCAGCATCAATACAAGCCCCGGGAGCTTGGAGAGCATCTCATGGAGGACTCAGGTATCAGGATTTGAGGTGCAGGTGACTACAGTTGCGTCAACATGTGTTGCTCTATTGTTCTTCCTCCTTTGCATCTGTGGCATCAGGGCACAGGTCTGAAACAGAGGCAGGAAATCAGGTTGCATCTTACTGTTTACTGTGTGCGTAGTGGCAAAGACAGCGAGAGGCCGCAGCATCTTACCTTTGTTTTCTCCAAAGTGGAATTCTGGTGGAAAGTTGAGGCACGCAGCCTGTTTCTTAAAGTGTTCCAGATGAGAGGCATCCAATGTCCCAGACTTTGCTGTAGGGCAGGCAGAGGGAGGTAAAAGTTAATGTTATCTCAGTTACCTAGTCAAAACATCTATTAAATAAAGAATTTAAATTCAGAGTTTTGGGGTTTTACACATTGGTGTACATAAGGGGTGATGCAAACAGTTACAGACAGCTGTGAACTCACTGAAGAGGTAGAGGTTTCTGCCTTTTTTGGTATCCCCGTTTTTGCCCTTCATCACTGAGTCATCTGTCCAGAGGAGGCAGTCAGGGCAGGTCACCAGGTGCCTCCCAACATTCTCATAAGTGGTGGAGTTAAAGTGGACTATTAGAGGTCGAAAGAAGATTAACATATTGTTATGTATTTCCAGTAATCATGAGTTAAAGAACATTTAATAATATGTATCATAATTTACTTACATGTCGCCTTGGTGGAGTTTCCTGTGAAGGTGCAATTAGTGCTTCCAAGATGACATTTTCCATCCATCCTTGAAAGGAGAGGAGAATATAATAAGCATATAAAGTCTTGCACTGGTTGCATTAAAGGTATTAACTTTCAAAAGATCAACAATTACATTTTGTCTGCCCAGCGGAGGGTCATGTCTTCACTATCAGGTATGGGTGAGAGTTCAATCCAGGAGCTGTTGATAGTTTTAAATTCCTCCAGGACGTCTTTGTTGTCTGATGTTCCAACATGGAATATCCATTTTCCAGAAATCTAGACACATACATGCAAAATTAAAACTCATATTCTATCTAGCAACTTTGTATTAAAATATAATATAAAATGTTGGTGAGGAGATTTTGGAGCACAAATATAACAATCCTCTTAGTTTTATGAAGTGCCTTTGAAATCTAATTTGGACAATGCATGGTCCATTTTAACAATATGCACATTATTTGTCCAACCTGCAAATTACAATTAGTATTGCTAATAACTGTTCAGACATTCTTTATGTTAAAGTTAAAGAAACCACCGAACACACATTCTCCTTCTAGCTTGTGGATGCTTGTGGCTCTCAAATCCCAAATATTGGGCCTTCATGAACATAGAATAAAAACAGAAAACCGTTTTTGCTATCAGTTATATTAACAAACAATAACAATATGAGTTTTAAGTTAGATTATGCAAAACAACCAGTGTAAAGCCTTTTAAAACAAATCAAAATCCAGAATAAAGATCCTTTATCCTGATTAGAAATGCTGAGGACAACTTACCTGGCTTCGCTCCTCCAGAGGTTTCACCAGCTCTTCACATTCTGGATCCGCTGCAGCAGTCAGAGAGGAGAACGCTAACAAAGCTAAACAAAACTGAACAACCATGGTTAAAAGTCAAATGACAGCCAACTATATACCAGAGCAAGAACAGGATCACTCTATTCTAGGAAGGCCACAGTGAAGACTAGCCGAAGTGGAGTGATATAAATAAGGAGGAGAAAGTTTTGGGCGGGGGTTGAAGAGTAACATGTCAAGTGGATAGACTACAGTTTGTTTGTCAAATGGTGGGATTGTGTAACAAATGGTTTGCATTGATCTCTCCACAGACCAAAGAGTGTATGTACAGGAGTTTTGGCACTGCAAGAGATATATACTATATTTGAAGATAACTCCTTTATTTGGTTTTCTGGTGCAGAAGATGGGAAATAATGTTTCATATATGGTAAAGGTTTATTGTGTTTGCCAGACATTTTTAAGCTATATCAAGAGAAATACTGTGGTATTCTTTGTGGTTCTGCCAAAGGTTCCCTCCTACTGTTTTCTGTTGCGGGATGAATTATTCTTTCAGTGGGCGATCATACTCTCACTCTTTCTCTGTGTGTATTGTGTGATTGAGGAAAGAACGAAAGAAAGAGATGAGAGAGATGCAATAACCAAAGATCACATAATCTGAGGTGTTCTGTGCATATATACATTAATCTACATGTGTTGCTGACATTATTGGGGTTGCACATGGAGTTTCACAGGCAGTGAGTAAATAAGTGAATAAGAATTGCAGTGCTGACTGTGCTGTTTACTAAAGCTGTCACATGAAAACTTTCTTTTGAACTCTTTGACTTGTAAGAGTGTGCTGCTGCATATAATAATGTGGCAACTACATTATAACTACAGAACAACGGGCTTTTATTTCACTATGTGTCGACCTCTAAAGCTAGCAAAAGTGTTATACTGGATTCCAGCCACAGTGTAAATCAATTTGTGAAAAGGCTGTTTCTGCCCTGATTCCCCGCGTTACCGTGATTTGTGCTCCAACAATCACTATGAGGCTGTAATACGTTGGGCAACAAGTGCTCGGATCCATGGTGTCTTCATGAACAGACCATATATTTTACTTAAAGGAACAATCAACATTTTGGTAAATACGCTTATTCGCTTTCTGGTGGAGAGTTAGATGAGGAGATCGATACCACTCTCAATGCTATACACTAAATATGAAGCTGTAGCCAGCAATGCTTTGCTTAGCTTAGCATAAAGACTCGAAATAGGGAACACTTACCACCTCTTAAGCTAATTAACAAGTTGTTTCTTGTTGTCTATTCAATACAAAACCTGAAGGGCAGAAATAGCTATTCGAGGTTATATGCTGGTGTAAGCTAACTGCCTGCTCGCTGTAGTTTTATATTCAGGACCAGTGTGCGGGATTTAGTGTCATCTAGGAGTATGTACAGCCTGTGCCAGTATAAAAAGAGTTCTCCTCTGGGTTGTTTCAATTTAGTTCCTTTATACAGTCTCATAGTTGCAGAGAAAGAACTGATGAATGTAGCAGAGTCACCAAGGGAAAAGAAATAGGGAAGAAGAGACGTGGACAGAAACAATGGAGGGATGGGGGGATAGTAGAAGGACGGAGCCTTGGCCAAATGTTCTGACTACGCAGGTGATGGTGGAGGAAAAGTCACTGGCCTAAATGACATCACATCCTGTCTATCTGCTTTTGAAACTGATCCACACTAGGAGATTGTTTTATCTGGGATCCGATGAAATTGAAAGCAATTAGGCCACAAGTTGATTCTTGGGTTCCTGGTTCACTGAAGTGTGGTCAGATGCAGAGTGGAACCAAAGTACAACCCCAAGTCTGCACTGAGACAAAGGCAGACATTGCACTATGATGCCCAGTGATTCCAGATGTCAAGGGGTCACTACATTCCTTGTCCGGAGTGAAAACATAGTCCAAGTGATAATAAATGCTCTTCGTACAGCCAGTGTTTGGTTTGTTCGTTCTGTACTGTAGTTAAACGGCAGTTAAACATGTGGACTCTGTAGAAGGGGACCCGCTTCTTCTATAGATAAAAACGGCTCATTCTAAGGTAATAAAAACTTATATCCAGGTTATTGTACACTAATAAAATGTGCCTATGAATATTCAGCTTTTGCCAATAGAGCCACCTAAATGTTATACACTGGACCTTTAATGGAAAGACATGACAGTGGTATCAATCTTCTGATTTAATTCTCATTATTTCCAAAACTATTTTTCATTTATTTAAAAAGAAAAACCTGTATTTATCATGGTAGACTCTACAGTCAGGCGGTTCACACTTGAAAGCTGTCCAACTTCCTTGCTTAGGGCATCTCAGTGGTTGTAGCTACGGGACTGGTTGTCTGAGGGAGGGACCTTGCCTTTTCCCCAAACAGATTCATCAGATGGTAGCAGGATAAATCAGGATAGATTATTTTCACTTTACCTACACACATTTATCTGGCAAAATCTCAGCGACCTTCTGGTTACAGGCCCACATCTCTAGACCAATGTTCCCAAAATTCAGTCACAAAGTGGGTGGCAGCCAGTTCCAGTAATCCTGGAACAAAGCTTAGTTGAAAAAAATGGCCTTGGCAGGCTCACAATCGGACTTTGTTCCTAAATGTAGTCACAATGGAGACACTGCTGTGCTGTACAATACAAGGACATAACAAGTGATAACCTTAAATTCCCTCAAATATACCCTGAAGTGACTTTGTTCATGTACACACAGTGCTTACAAATGAAAAGAGCTGACACTTTGACTAAGGGAAGAGAAGATTTATACTAGCATATTCAAAACCCATGAAATACTTCTCTGTGTATTTACAAAAACATAATACAAGAATAAAAAAGAGAAAATGAACACATCACAAATGGAGTCCCACATACTGCCACAAAACAGAAAACATGATCCAATTTACAAATGCATCTTCTTGTACTCCCACTTATGGCTTCAGTCTAGCACAAAACAAAATAAAATATCTCTGTTCAGTTGTGATGGTGCATCATCAGTCCATCCCTCCGTTTTGCAATAATTCCCTCCAGATTTTTCTTTAAATAATAATAATATCAAATACACATACAAGACAGAGGAGCTACATTTGTGAGCTGTACACTTTGCAGTTAGGGAGGGGAAAGGAGAATGTTCACAGGCATATCAACCTTTTGTACATGATGATAATACATCTTGGGCAGTGAAAAAAGTTTAAAACATTGATTAAAAACAAGCTTATTTAGCTTTCTGTACCAACCAACCTTTTACATCACACTGAGATCACAGTTTATCCGGATGACAATAAAGTATGAGTGACCAAAGTGACTTAATAAGCTTGTGTCTTGCAGTTTACCATCCATAATGGTCATCTGTTTTTGAGTTCTTTTTCTCTCTTATTTTGACATCCAGAGAATGTGGGACGTTGCGGCTCCAGGACATTTGGATAAAGGTTTAAATAACTAGATTCGAGACAGGCCTCAGCAAACAAAACCAACAAATCACATGTACAGGTTCAGTGTCCCCTTTTTGTTAAATAACATGGCCACATGCAGTATCTTTTGCTCATCCCCATTTTAAACTTTGTCCTGTGATCGTGCAGTGGACAGATTATAAAATCCTACAAAAGGAAATTCGGTATACCGCTCATACTGGGGAGTCTTGCTCTTTGAATCGCAAGAAAAGGTTTATCACTGAATACCGAAAGAGGCAACACTTGATTATGAAAAAACTTTCAGTCCTATCCTCACTGCTCTCTCCAGTTATGTACGTTTTGGATAAAGAAAAAAACATTATTACTCTTACGAAATAGAAAGTTGAATTCATAAGCAATAAAACTCACATTTCTCAGTTCAGTACACTTCTGGGGTTTTGCTTCCTGAGCCTTACTTCTGGTATGACCAGTAGCTTTTGATTGCTGAATGTTAGCTAATGTTACCAAAATTTAGCTAGATATTCGCTATAATGGGGCCACTTACTAAGCCATTTTAATCCATCACTGGACCATATGACTCTCACTGTATCGGTCTTAGCATTTACCATTATCCTATCCTGTAATCATCACTTGCAGCAACACTGGCCACTGTTCAACACAATTAACATAGTCTCACTTTAAGCCTTGAAAAAGTTATTTTCCCCCAATAACCATTCAATGTGACTTTAAATTCAAAATGCAGGCAAATATTCCAGGATGTGCTGAAGGCTTTCTGCAAATCAGGGTTAAAGTCTGACCAAAGAGCTGACTCTGATCTGCACTTCATTTGCCAAATCAGGCCTTGCAAACATGTGATACGGGGGAGGCAGAAGTAATATATCTTACATTTTCCACATTTGTGGCCAAGTTTGGGGATGAAAATTGAAAAACTTCTTAGTATAAAACATAAAATACAATGTTAGTGGTCATCTTAGACAACCACAACATTTGAAAAGACTTTAAATTACTAGACTACAAATATCTGCACAAGCCTCAAATAAACCTCATGGTAAAATGAGTGTGATGTCTCTGTTCCAGTAATGGACAAAATAATTTGCCAAGAAAAGACAAAAGATGGTCCTTGTGACATCCAGTCAGATTAAATTTCATCATCAATCAAAAAGTATTTGTATCTCTTTAGATCCTTAAAATGGATAATTTAGGATAAATGGCCTTTTGTTTCTGGGCATGAACTTTCTGGGTGTGATATGATGCAAAAGGCGGAGACATCTGTCTGTGACTGTGACTGGAGTGTGTGCACAGTCTCATACACACTGTACGCAAATATACAAAGAGTTCTCCTCTGGGTTGTTTCAATTTGGTTCCTTTGTACAGTCTCATAGTTTCAGAGGAAGAACTGATCAATGTAGCAGAGTCACCACTTAGAACGGGAGAAGAAATAGGGGAGAAGAGACGTGGACAGAAACAATGGAGGGATGGGGGGATAGTAGAAGGACGGAGCCTTGGCCAAAAGTCCTGACTATGCAGGTGGTGGTGGAGGAAGAGTCACTGGCCTAGATGACATCACATCCTGTCCCTCTGCTTTTCACCGATCCACACCAGCTTACTGAGTGACTGACCAAATGTGCCTCCAGAGCCTTCACACGCTCATCGTCATGTTTGGAGAATACTGCAGAGATAAGATGGGGAGAAATACGTATGTGTGAGTGTGTGTGAAAAAGAGATTCTTTCATCTGGGATCCGATAAAGTTGAAATCAATTAGGCCACAAGTTGATTCTTGGGTTCCTGGAAGTGTGGTCAGATGCCGAGTAGAACCAAAGTACAACCCCAAGTCTGCACTGAGACAAAGGCAGACACTGCACTATTAAGCCACATGATTCCAGATGTCAAAGGGCCACTACATTCCTTGTCCGGAGTGAAAACATAGTTTAAGTGATACCTAATGTTCTTATCTGGCTTTCCTCAAGCTAACCAGGGTGAACCCTCTGGTGCACCCATACATACCCACACAGATGAGAAATACATACATGGTGCCAAACACAAACTTTTAAAAGATATAAAAGTTTTCACTGTTATACAGCAGGACCCTGAATTAGAAACCCAATTCCAAAATGCTCTGAATTGTTTATTGACATTAAAAAAACTTCTCAAACATTGAAGAAAAAGTTTAAAATTAGGGGAAATATGCTTGTTTGGTTGCTTTCTTCCTTACACTAATACAATAACACATTTGTATGGTTAATATCTACAGATAGCAGCTACTTAGCTTGGCCTTTTAGCAACAAAATCTACCTACCAGCACCTCTGAAGATTACTAATAAACACATTATATCCTTATATTTTGTTCATTTAATCCCTAGTGACTTTCTGGACTTTTGTTGTCACAGTGAGGTTTCCAGGCAACCAGTGGAAAGTCCAGAAAGTCACTGCTCTCAGCCGAGAAATAGTCCAATACATAAATCCCCATATACACTTTGGTGTATCAGATATAATATGTTCACTAGTAAAACTGGTGCTAGTAAGTGGACTTTTTGTTCTCCTTTGGACAGAGCCAGGCTAGCTGTTTCCCAGTTTTATGCTTAGCTAAGGTAATTGGCTGCCGGCTATAGCTTAAATTTTACTGTACAGATTTGAGAGGGAGCAAATATGTGTATTTGCCAAAATGTCAAACTAATCTTTAAAAAGCAACATTTTGTAAATCCATTTTTAACCTAAAGGTCCAGTGTGTAACATTTAGAAGGATATATTGGCAAATGGAAACAGAATATAATATTCATATGTATGTTTTCATTAGTGTATAATCACCTGAATAAAAATCTTTGTGGTTTGGTTACCTTAGAATGAGCCTATGTACAGACACCACGGATCGCCTTCCATGGATTCCACCATGTTGAACCACCACGTCTCTAGAGTAGCTCAGAGTGGACAAACCAAACACTGGCTGTAGATAGGGCCTTTCGCATTGTACACAAGGTTTGTGTCCTCCCACACTTTGCCCTGTTTGTCATTCTCAGGTTGTTAGTTGCAATCTGCATATTCACCGCTAGATGCCACTAAATCCTACACACTGGTCCTTTAACCTCAACAGTTATGGTATGAAGCCTGAGATCCCTGTAATCATACCAGACAGTAGATGACAATTTACTTACACTTTCATTCTGAAAAGGGTTAAGGAAGTTTCCTCCCATCTCTCCATCCTCCCTGGGGGTCCCAGGCTGGTTACTCATACTTAGGTTACCAGGAGAGTTCTGTAATAAAGACGTATTTAATACACACATTACTATTAAGTTAAGTGTATGCGACTAAAGCTACAAAAACCAGATGTGCAGTGAAATTGCGAACAGGAGTTTCAAAGTAGATAAATATCTTCTCCTACCTTGGGGAGACTGTCCATATCACCTGACCCTGAGAGAGGGAACACAAGTATGAAAAGATCACAATTCACTGTTAGTAAATCGATGCTTGTTTATCTTAAGTTATGTGACAAATTAGGGAAAAAACATAATCAGAGATTTAGTGTCACTGCGGCACACACTATACGAGCTACTTATTCCTGATACCTAATGATCCATTCATGTGATGGGGCTCCATACCAGCCATTCCCCCTAATGGACCATCGCCACCTGCACCCATAGGGAACTGGGGAGAAAATACACAGGAGACAATGATAATGAATGATCTGTAACAAAATTAACCATTAACAAAGCAACAAAAAGTAAAAACAATACAATTTTTTTTTTTTATATCAAAGAGCTATTACACCCACACACAAATTCCGTAAGCATCTGCACTTCAGTAGACACAGTGATATACAGAGAGAAAAATGTCTCACATTTGGTCGGCTTCCACCTGGAGGGACTGTGTTTATCATAGTGTACATGTTGTCACCAGAGTTGGTTGAATCTGACATAACAAATGGAAATCAATAAAAGGGTTAGAGAGCATAAACAGAAACACACACACACACATGCATATACAGAGCTTACCTGCTGGACTTGGCATTATTGGGGTCCCAGGTGGCCCACCTCCTCCTGGAGGTCCCTGAAATTACAGTTTTGGTTTTAATAAGATTCATACATGAACTAATGAAAAGCAACCTGTACAACTAGTGAACAGCAGCAGTTTAAACTCAAACATACATACCACATAACTTCCTGGAGATGCAGAAGAGTAAGGGGTCTGAAAAAATACAGTAGGAAATGATGAAATAAATCAAATAACTCTCTGTTTGGTGTCTTTGTTATAGCACTTACTGAATTGGAGTTTGGAGGATTTGGCCAGGGTCTACCCCCACCAGGTCCCCTGGAACACACACACACATACACACACACATTAGTTTTCTGCTTTTGGCAGGCTTCTTCGTTTCCAATTCATTTGGGCAGAGTTGGCAACAACAAGTTCTTCAGTTGCCCAAGAGAGGTGATGGGAACAACATTTAAAAAAGGAAGACAAAATAGAGCAAAGCTGGCTCCTAGCGCCGCGTGTAGACCTCTAATAGCTATGAACAAACAGTAAAGTTGTAATCAAAAGCTACATACTGTAAAGGAAATGGCTGACTGCATCTATTGTAGTCAGAGATTAAGGACATTTTCAGTTTAATTCTGTCCCCTCTGAGTGAGAGACATGTGGGAGGTCATTTATATTTACATTGTATGCCTATGGGTAACAATATGTAGATACCACTCACATGTTCATGCCAGGCATCCCGGGACCAACCAGGGCATTCAGTGGTGGTCTCATCCCACCTCCATAGTTCTAAAACAAAAACACCAAAATGCCCTCAGCTGTGTCTACATGACAGTAACTATCAAAACCAATGCTTTGTAAATATCCCCACAAATCATTGGGTCCCATACCTGGGGTCCTAGTGGTACCATGCCTCTGGGTGGAGTCATCCGTTGCATTGGTCCTCCCATATTTGGATGTCCTGGAACATAGATAAACAGTCAAACCACAACCAGCCATTAGTTTGTTCCAGAGCCATGAATTCAGACTGGGGTAAGTTTTATATTGTTCAGTCATCCATTTTTGGTACACTGTACACTGTATTGTTTCAAAACCCCAAGAACACATACATTTTTGAGATCATGTGACCTGTGTGTCTGTCACCAACTATCATACAACATTTACAGTTCAGAGAGAGTTGAGTTGAGTTGAACAGTAACTGAACATCCTGAGTCTTTTAACCCTCTACATAATTTATGTGTTGTCTGGAGGAGTGAGTAGTTTGTGTAAATGTACTTATAAAAGGATGAGTAGAGATCTTATTATCAACAAATCCCATAAAGAGACTAAACCATCAATGAAAGCATTGTGCTAAGTACTGTCTGTGTAGACTGATGTATGTATCTTATGTTTCCAAGGCGTAGAACTTCCTTGTCCTCCAAAAACTATAAACTGTATAACTAAAACACATAAAGATGCCATACTGTTGCATTGGGTGACATATTAATTCATTTTGAAGAACAAGGCAAATTATCTTATTCCTCACATCTTATCAAAAACAACAAAAGTATATAAAACCTCTTTTTAGAGCATGCTCTGTGATCTCCACTGGACTTACAAATACAAATGCAGTTCTTTCTAAATAAACTATAGCAACCAACGTACTGAATAAATATGTCTTTACTGTGTTATTTCTCTCTCTACAGTCCAAAACTTTGTTTGAGAGTGAAATATCACCAATTATTTACTGGATTGCCATGACATTTTGGTTTCATGGTCCCCAGAGGATGAATCCCAATGACTTGCCGACCCCCTGATTTTTCCTCTAGTGCACCCATGATGGTGACAATTCAAACATTCATGTTCCCCTCAGGAAGAACTGAAATAACGTTGCTGATCCCTTTACCTTTCATCTAGCGTCATCATCAGGACAAATACCTGCAAAACTTAAGACATGCTCAGTAACCATATCATGCTAAGATGCTAATGTAAGATCAAAACAAAACCTGCCACAAATCAGCATGTTGGCATTGTCATATTGAGCATGACTGTGGATTCTTGTTAATAATTACGGATGATGGTTACATGGCAAAAGTTCAAGGCTGTGGCTCCACGGAAAATTATTTTTTCTATATTTTTGGATAAAATCCAAAGAAAAAACAGTGGCAGTGTTATTCTTAAATAAACTGGGTGCTGCTTATGTTTGTGTTTGTGCATACCAGTGTGCTTATGTGTATACCTTGCTGTCTTGTGGGGTCCATGCCACTGGGTAACATAGGCTGGCTACCTGGGACTCCTCCAAGTCCCTACAGAGGGAAGAGGATTCATCTCTAGGATTATTATCACTGTCACACAGATACTGTCCATTTATACTATCCACAGTTCTGTCTTTTGCCTGCAGGTGTCAGTGTGGCTCCTACCTGATTGGGTAATCTGAGGGGTGGTCTGGGTCCTCCTGGGTACCGAGGTGACATAAATGGCTGAAAAAACAGCATACATACATAATCTTTAAAAACTTAACTTATTAAAAACCGTATCAAGACTCTGCAACACAACATTTCCTACTTAAGACAGGACATGTTGAAGATTAATGTAGAATAAAACGTAGTATTTACATACTAAATAAACTTTTTTTAAATATACTTTTACTAGATTAATGTACAATAAAACGTTGTATTTACATACTAAATAAACTTTTTTTAAATATACTTTTACTAAATAAAAACTGACTTTATTGAAAGACAAACAACCAAACAACATGAGAAAATATAATGTCCTGTGCCAAACCAGGTCACAAATAATACTCCTCCTTCTTTTATAACCCCTTGCACAGAAACAAAAGTGGTGTGCTATAGAGCATCATCAAGTTTTTTCACTCTCCAAAACAGGAAACCAGCCAGAGCTACTGCGAGTCTTTTGTTGAGCTTTGGGCTCATTTTCCTTTAACAACAGTGCCATGACAGCAGAGTCGGGAAGCCGACCGCATTTTCATTGGATTGGATTTATGGAAAAAGAATGAGAGAATAAAAGATGAGGTTTGTTAATAATGATGCAAGTTTATGTGTTAACTGTGTGCAGTTTGGCAGCATGTGTGAGAAGCTCTTTTGCAGCTGTGAGTGGGTTTTCACTTGTCCTCACCACAGACAGTAGCAATGCTGTTGCTATGTCTGCTGAACTAAAGCCACTGTGGTCAGTGAAGCCAGCCTGCATAATCTTATTATTGTGCAGTGCTGGTAGAAGCAATACAGTAATTTAGCCACTAGAGAGCAATGGTCCACTTGTTTTGATCAGGGTCTTTTCTTTAATTACCCCTTTTCTCATCTTCAAGCAGTGCGGAAGATCCATCAAAGGAAAACAGCTAGAGAATTTTAATCTATTTAAGTACTTTTATGATTTAAAACAATCCATAAATGAAAAGGTAAATGCAAATAACGTAAAACGGAGTTACTAAATTAATAAACCGAATGAATAAATAAATGAGTGACGTTGAAAGGTAGATATTTGGATATATCTTTATAATATATATTTGGTATAATTGTGCATTATCTGTCATCTGAATTTATTTTCCCAATAAAATTTTGTTTATCATAAAATTCAGTTCCTTCTGTGACATTCTCTGAACTGGTATATATGCAAGTCACTTTATGGAACCTGAATGAAGAACTGGCAATCTGATAATTGTCGCATTTATTTAACCCATAGGTCTTGACAAGAGCTTGTCTTCAAAGAACAATTGATCTTCAGAAGGAGATGGAAAAGGCTGTTCAAACTCAAAGTTTGAGTTTTTTGAAAGCGGAGCGGAGAAATGCCTATGAAGGCTATTGATCTGTGTGTCAGATGCGAGCGTCTGAGTTTGACTGATAATGGCGGTTAATCAATGTACAACTGGCCGAGTCCTTCTGATGGAGAACAGAGATGATCTGGGGAGAAGCTGCATGTGTGACTTTTTGTTTGCGAGAGATTTATTGCTCCTGTCAGTCTTTTCTCTCTGTTTAAAAACACACACACACACACACACACACACACACACACACACACACACACACACACACACACACACACACACACACACATACACACACACAGTGTAACACAGTCACAGTGTAAGACCCTCTCTTGCACTTTCTGTGTTTGCTTGTGTGTATGTGTATGAACCGCATACCTGAAAAAATCCTGGAGGTACTGGCCCCACAGGCATGCCCTCTCCTGGGGGAAGATTCCCTAGGACGGGGCTGGGAGCTGCTGCAGCACTCTGAAAGAGTCAAACAGCAGAGTAAAAATCACAAGCAAAAAGTACTGTACTTAAACACAAGTTTGAGATATTTTAGTTGAGTATTTCCATTTTGTGCTACTTTAGTTACTATAGTTCTACTACTTCCACTACACTTCAGAGGTACACTACCTTTTAAAAGTTTGGAATCACCTGTTGTAAATACCCCAGTCCAGAAAAGCGTTAGGGACATTAGGTCATTATTGAAGCACAACGGTGCAACTAGGCTCTAAATATATTAAGAACCCACTTTTCTTTAGGCCTTCTGCAGCCTACCCAGTGGTAACATTGGACAGGTTTTTTGTCAGTCCATAGTATGTTTAGCTGATATTCTGTGATACAGTTCTAATAGTGCCAACCCCACACTAACCTTCTATTTCTACTTCTTAATTTTAAAAGTAGCTTTGCTAAAGCAATACGCCTGTTAATTCCAGCTTGTTATAGGCATTATTGTGCAACTGACACTGAAACAGGGACCTGTTACATTTTAAATCTGCACACATTTTGATGCCAAGTTTCCAATTTATTTTACCAATGAGTGGTGTTTTCTTATATTCCTTTCTAACTGGTGCTCAGAGGTTTCTGTTTCTCTTTCAGCCCTTTTTGTCTGGTTGAACCATTGTACAGCGTTTTGCTTTCCCTGTACAAAAAAAATACTTTTTCTTGCAAAACCCTTTGAACAAAATAACTTTACAATCACTTGACTGTTAAGTTACTTTGTGGATTAAGATTTTAAGTACTATATATTATGAGTTTATTAAATATGATGCAGTAAACTACCTAACAATATATATACAATAGTTCAAATCAGCACATCAACACATCAGTAAAAAATATTCAATAATATAATATAACAGTGCACTCACAGGGGCATTTTTCCTGCATTATGAGTACTGTACTTACATTTTTGTAATAACAGTGCTTTAACTTTAGTGAGATTTTCAATGCAGGGCTTTTACTTGTAATGGAAGTAAATTATCTGAATACATTCTCTACTACTGTTACTCAGTCAAATTCAGCATCTCTCATGAACATGCCACCAATGAAACAATACATGTGTAAAAAAAAAACAAACAAAGGCAAATATAAAAATTAGCAAACCAGGGGTCCCCCCCATCTCACTTGCTGTCTCTCCCTCAGTGGGATATTTCCTGTTTCTGCAGATGCCCTGCCGTACTGGCCCAAGTTTATTTTTATACCTTGTGTTTTTTTGTTGTGCTTGTCCCAGACGGGCGGCGCTGGCACATTTCAGCACAGCCTCTGTCTGCTTCCTGTGGCATTGTACTATTAACTAACCACCCAGCGCCGGCCTCTTCCTCATCCTCATTAGGTATATAGACCAGACAACATGCAGTGTGGGAGAGTGTACATCCATATATATGATAATGTGTGAACAGTGAGCACATAAAGCCAGCATGCCTGTGTCTGCGTGCCTCTGCCCACACTCCGTTCTCTCTGATCTCCCCTCTCACTTTCTTTCCTCTGAAGGCATCGGCTGGGTGTAAAGAGCTCCAGTGAAAATCACCCACAGTCTCTGAAGTTTCCGCCAGCTGACTTTTTAGGTCAGACAGGAACAAGGTTTAATCAGAGCCGGGATAAAAGCAGACTGACGACACTCGTGTATCCTTCTCTACTCCACCCCACCACCCTCGCACTTCCCTCATCCTACCTCATTCTACTTCATATCTTCCAATCGTTAATGTTCGGCAACAGGGAACAGGATGCCGTGCAGCTTTTTGGTTCCATATTCTGCTGCAAACAGAGCCTTTATTTGTCTCAGCAGATGAATGTACAGATGGACACAGATGGATATTGTATCTCCATGGTTCAGTGGTGAGAGACTGGATTTGGTTTGTTTGTGTGTGTTTGTCTGAGTGAACAACAGCATGCACAGCATCAAGTGTGTACTGTGATTTTGTGAGTTTTTTTCCCCCCTTCCTTTCCCTCTGCCTTCTCGCACCCTGGATTACCCAGAATGCCTTTACTCCCTGGCAGCCTGGAGGTCTGCTGAGTTTGCCTTCACGCACAGAGAGAGAGAGAGAGGGAGGGAAAGAGGAGAAAAGAGGACAAAGCAGAGATTATGAGTGTGTGTGTGTGTGTGTGTGAGACTGTGTGTGTGTGTGTGTGTGTGTGTGTATGTGGCAGTGAGTGTGTGAGTGTATTTAATGTTTGTTTGTGCAGGAAAGAGAGAACTGGGGGAGGAAAAAAAAAATCTACCTGACCTGCTGACAAAGCAGCATTTTCCAAATACAGCAACAAGAAGAAGAAAGAAAAAAAAACAACCCGCCAGGATATATCCCTGCCCCAAAACCAGCCCACCCTCTATCTACGGAAAACAAAAACAACACTAACTCCTCTGCTACTTAGTCCGTGTATGTCATTGATTTTCTTTCAGAAACGGGTATTAAAAGGAGAAAACGAGTGGTTATTTGATTTTCGTTTTAAAATACAAAAATTAAAATTGAAATACAAGGCGTTTTTTTTTCATGGTCAAGGGGATGACGAAATTTAAAAATGATTCGATTTTCATTTTCTATTTCATATAACAAAAAATAAAATCACTAGAAAACAGAAACGAAAAAGGCCTGTTTTTCATATTTGAGACCGGATGTTGTCATTTAAGGACGGTGCTGTGGAGAAGAAACAGTAGAGCAGTAGACTGCGGTCAATCAGTCGTGAGTCCGATCTCGTGGTCAAATCAGCCGCACTTAAATTTATAGTGTACAAGTATTCTCAGCATTATGGTAAATGCGGAGAAACAGTGTGTTTATTTCTGGTTTTCAAAATAAAGGTATTTAGAACAGTAAGCTATAATTCGAACTTACATTTAATATAAAATTTGTTACATTAAAGTGTTTTATGCGCCCCTGATGAATAAAAAACACTTTATATCAAGTATCTTTACTGCACCAGTGTGGAGAAATGCCAAAATAAAAGTCTCATATTTATGCTAGAGATTGCATATTTGACCATATTTGAGGTACTGTAAAACATATTGCTCATGTTTCTGGTACTGATGGTATATTTGACTTTTGCACATATGAGACTAAAGTATATTTAATATCAAGCATTTTTATTGTACCAATTTGGAGAAATTCAACAATAAAAGTCCATATTTGTACCTCCAAGTGGTATTTTTATATTTTGAGCTACTTTAAAAACAATAATTCCTGGCTATGATGGTATATCTTACTTCTACACATCTAAGACTAAAGCATACTTAATATCAAGCATTTCTACTGCACCAATGTGGAGAAATTTAAGAATAAAAGGTGGTTCCACTGTGTGTGAACCACTGAAAGTGTCGAATCTGTAAAAGGGAAAAATAATATATGAGGAAGAGACATAGGTACAATGGTGTTTTAAGTTAAAACTAATTTTTTTTCCTTTTACAGATTAGTGTGACGCTGTAGAGTGCAAAATAAGCGATTTTTGTCATGATTACTGCATCATTATTGAAGTAACGTTATAATGAAAATGCTTCAACCATAGCCTGGAAATATTGAGCACTGGTGCAGTAAAGATACTTGATATAACGTTTTTTTATCCATAGGGCATGAAACACTTTAATGTAACATATTTTATTTTAAATGTAGGTTCGAATGATAGCTTACTGTTCTTAATACCTTTATTTTGAAAACCGGAAGTAAATACGTGTTTCTCCGCATTTACCATAATGCTGAGAATACTTGTACACTCTAAATTTAAGTGCGCTGATTTGACCACGGAATCGACTGGCTGGATTGACCGCAGTCTACTGCTCTACTGTTTCTTCTCCACGCACCGTCCTGTAATGACAACATCCGGTCTCAGAATATGAAAACAGCCTTTTTTCCGTTTCTGTTTTCTACTGATTTTATTTTTTGTTATATGAAATAGAAAATGAAAATGAATCATTTTTTAAATTTGCTATCCTTTTTGACCATGAAAAGAAAAACGCCTTGTATTTCAATTTTAATTTTTGTATTTTAAAACAAAATCAAATAACCACTGTTTTTCTTTTTAATACCGTTTCTGAAAGGAAAATCCAATGACCAAAACATACACGGACCTTACAGTCTCTCTTGATTATGACAAATCAGATTGACTCAAATGACATTAGAAAAACAGAATGAATCACACTGAGAAGGTTGCACAAAGCCTCTTTAGAAGAGAGCATGTGAATCTTTTTTCCTCCTTAAGACACCACTAAGCTGGAGGAGTCACATAGTGCATAGTGACGGTTGTGCAGCAGCACCTGAAGTACAAGTCTGAGACTTGATTCGCCATTATTTTAAGTAATAGTATCGTGGCTAGGCTTATTTGCCTATGTTTGTATGGTTAATTTAGTTTCTGCATTTTATGGGGGCTTATGTGCATGACTATATCCTGAAGTCTTGTCATCACCATGAGGTTGTCAGGCAATCAGAGGAGACTTCAAAAAGTCTCTGGCCAAGACATAGTCTGGACTTTGTAATGATTGAATAAATAAGGTCTAACTTGTTGCTTAAGAGGTTCTGGTCGCTGTATTATTTTCCTTTGGACAGAGCCAGGCTAGCTAACGTCATATTTAACAGACAGACATAAGACTGGTATCAATTTTCTCATCAATCTCTTTAAAAAAAAATGAGGTGTAAGAATAAAATGTTACACTGTAATGGGGAGTTTATTTGCCAGATTTTTCTCAACTTCTTGGAGTCTCTAGACTTAGTGCTAGGTGGCAAATTTTGTTATGGCCAAAGTCAGGTTAGCTGTTTCAATATTCTCATGTAACTTTTGTACATTTATCCCCAAGTATTAGCTAATGGTACATCCATAGCAGCCAGTCTTGCAGCTTTTTTGTGTTCGAGAATTGAGGAATTGGATAATATGGGCATCGTAAAGGGGGCAGGCCTTGGGGCGCTTCCACCTTGTGTGCCCCTGCCGTATTGGCTACAAAAATGAAAAATGAAAGTTTTTTTATACAAATTGTAGGTCTACTCGGATTCTTTTTTTCAGATTAA